ACTTCCGAGGTGCACCATTTCATCATCCGATCTTCGATCGGAGTGATTCTAAATCTCACATGTCACTTTTAAATAGTACTATTAGCATATCAAATTTTGGAAAGATCCAACGGACGAATTAAATTTAGTGCATGTTGCAACATTATCATTATTGTGTATTGATAGCACTTTTGCTGTAATGACAGCTCCTCTGGACCAAATTATGGAATGTGTCGTTTTTCTCCATCTGATATCCGATCGATATGATTCCAAAGCCCACACGAAGCTTATAAAATATTTTACTTGTAACCCAAATTTTAGAGAAATCTAACGGTCGGATTAAGATTTAGACACCCAGATGTAAAAGTACAGGTTTGATAAAAACTATTTTCAAAATTGTCCAAATCTCATCCTAATGGTCACAACTTGTGGGAACACTTTGGACACGTCAAATAGGACTAAAAAAACTGATAGAATATTTAAATGGTAGAAAAACCTTTTATATCAAAATTTGACCACTCAAGTGTTATTTTCCAAAATGAACCCTAACCCCCAAAATGCACAAATCACACAAGAGTGGCCAAAAACTATTCCAAATATTATATACACATATGAATACACCCGCTAAACATTTTCACTTGGTTCAGAGATCTCTGTGGGGTCCACGTACCCACTCTCTCTATCCAAGGTATATGTTGCCCATAACACACCATTTACAATACAACTACTTTACATTTGCTTGTGGAATCACATATATATCAGAATAAATATTTACTTGTAGTAAAAACTTGGTCTACTAAATAAATCCATCAAAACCACTACCATAGCCAAGTTTTCTAGCCACAAGTCTACAAGCAAGCAACAATTCATACACAGCCATACAATTACAACACCACTCACTCACATACATATACATAATCATATCCTACTGGCACCCTAATCCTAAATACATTGCAATAGATTTTCAACAAAGAAAGGGGTTGCAGTTCTTTACAATTCACAAACAACCCTAACTTTGCTCCTTTCCCCGTCCTCCACTGGTTCCTTCATCGGGACGTAGAATATTGAAAAGAAAGGGGTGAGACAACTACAGTTTTAGTAACAGAAAAATCTACATTGATTTTACAAAGCAAGCCATAATCGAATAAACGAATAATAAATTCAACATAGTATAATTTAGCCATTTAAATGTATGAATGCATGACCTAGGCCGATATAGCCCTTTATGACCAATAGAATGCCCCCTGGCACTCTTTAACTCGCAGGGTAAACCTTATACCTACTTGTACCTCTACAGGACAAAACATAATCTAAGGCATGATCTAATCCACCGAATCGCTATGCCCCTTCGACGTGAATCCTGAGCAGTTAAAGCTAACTCCTTCTTAAAGCCAGCCTGACTTACTCTCCCATGTGGGTACTACCTTGGCCTAGGCACTCAACTTTACACTTCATATGTCGAATCCCTCCCCCACTGAGAGGTGTTTAACACTCAATACACTAACCACTTTAGTGCACTGAGCCCATAATATGTAAGGCAACATTGAGTACTGGTAGTGTGCCATAAAATATCAAAAGTCCACACCTTCTCATTTGTGAACTCCCACTGAGATCATGCCTTTTATCGTGTCTACCTACCTTTCTAAGTATTGACCACTTCAACACTCTAAAGTAGTATAACATTTATAAAATCTCCCTAAAACGGTTCCTTAGCCTATCTAAGGTACCTTACTTAGTTACACTTCTTTAAGTTCAACTTCTATTCCTTATGATTAAAATACATGTAAACAAATCTTATTTCCATAAAAACATTGTTGTTAACAATTAAAAAAACATATTGCACTATAATCAAGTAGTGCCATAACCCCTTATAAATCACATTTAATCTTTTAAAACATGTAATGCATGATAGCTAGTAATATTTATTCAAAAATAGCTAAAATAAAGTAATAAGAAATATAAATTCCCCTGTTACCTCAACCTTTTGGTACCAAAAGGGTTCTTCTTGTACAAAATAGGGCTCGGCTTGTTCCTAACTTCTTCCGAACAATTTCTACCAACAATTCCTACAACATATAAGTGATCCACATCACTTATCATGTCAAATAGCATTAATGAAGATTATAACTCATACCACACAACTTGAGTCAATGAGTCATAATCCATCCTAATGGTTCATATATTAAACCAACTATTCACATAGTATCATCACTTAACCACCAAAACCATTTATTAGCCATCACTAGGCTAATTTCAATTTATATAATTTTTAATTAATTAAAAACCTTCACTTAGTGTCAACAACTTTCCACCATTAGCTCTTATAATGAAAACCAAACCTTAATTAAATCTTATTGGACTCAAATAGTAAAATTATAATTAAATCAATAGGCTTAAAACATTAAGGAGCAAAAACCCAATCTCTCAGGATTTAATTTGTGCCTAAAATACCTCTTTTCATCCATTATTCACTCAAAAATATTAGATCACTATATAGAAACTCAAACATCCTCCCTAGGATCCAAAGAAACAAAAGCTTACAAGAATAAAACCTTTAGGATCAAATTCAGAAATTTCCTCTTCCAAAATTGAAGAAAATCAAGAGGAAGGGAAGAAGATTAAGTAGGGAGTTTAAACTATCACGTAGCCGAGCTCGCAACGGCCGCAAAGTTCTCCTAGATATAAGCTAACTCCCTCTCTTTCTCCTTCTTCTTCCTCCTCTCTCTCTCTCTCTCTCTCCACGCATTTCCTGTCTTTTTCTTATTTCATTTCTATGTTTTTGCGTCTGGTTTCTGTTTAAACAAGCTGATATAATGCTTTGGGAAAAATTACAAGAAAGGGCCCAATATTTTTTATTATAGTACAAAAGCTCGGGTCAATTTTGGTAATTTTCTCATAATAAAAATCAAATAAAACCAAACTTTTGTTGAGAAAAATTTAAACTCTGGACCTCTATCAAATTATTCTAAATTTTAATTTAATTATAGATATTTTATTTTATTTTTTAAAATAAATTTGAGTTTTAAAATTTTAGGATGTTACACAATCCATCAAAATTAATGTCACATGGTTTCTTTCTATCGTCACGTATCTTACCTCCTTCCTTTCTCCTTCTTCACTTATTTTTCTTGTCTGTAAAACATAAGATTCAACATAATGAGATAGCTTGTATAAAATTAAAGATCGAGATTGAGCACATCTAGCTTAAGAACATTGTCAAACCTTAAGCAATTGTATTCATGATAGATTTAAAATTTTCAAATGGTTTTCACCACTGCTGCAAAGAAACAAATGATTTAGTTTGATATTCAATCAAAATGACATTTTCTTACATGATATTCATATAATGATCGATTAACCTCCAGTGAATTTCATCTAGAAATATTTTTTTAATCCATATCAACGAAAAATATGATCAACTTTTGCTTAGGTGTTGCTAAATGGTCAATATTTAAGGGATTGGATAAGTTGATATTTTTGCTTTTGGCCTACAACTTTGTGGGTGTTTTTGCTCTTGACCGACGACTTCGTGGGTTTTTTGCTCTTTTAGCAGTCCACATCAGCAAAGACTAACGCGTGGCATGCACAGTTAGCATTTAATAGTCAAAGTTAACGGCATTAGGTTAAAATTAATGATCTGATCATTTTTGCACTCATCCATGTAACGTTATAGGTATTTTTTTTTTCTCACTTTAGGATACTGGGTGCTTATGATTGACTACTTTGTGAGTATTTTTACCTTTTTATCCTTTATTATTTATATTAGCATATTTTAACAGTGTAATCTCATTTTTAAATAAAAAAGACCAAGTCATTTTACAAAAAAAGGAGGACCAAATCAATAACTAACGCAAAATATAGGCACTAAATTAATAAAAATTAACTTTAAGAAATCAAATCAATAATTGAGACTGAGAAACAAAAAGTTTTATCATTCCTATCAAAGTTGAGGATGTTTTCATGGTAAAATTTTTAAATAAAAAGAGGTTATCTTCACATAACTCGAAATTAAGGATTGGCCAAAAACAAACATACAACTCAATTAAGAAGCTATATAACCAAAAGTTTAGAGCGTTTATTGGAAAGTCTGTTTTAAAAGATAAGTAGGTTATCGATGCACCTAATTGTGCTTAACAACATTTAAATCTAATACGACAATCTCGAATATTAAATAATCATATATATACACAATCTTATCTTATTTATTGTATGTTTGGAAATTTGTTTTAGTTAAAACTTGTTGAAAAAACCATTTTGTTGGTATCTATAGTTTTTTCTCAATTTTTAATTTGGTAGTTATGCATTTTTTTTTATTTTTTATTCCCTTCCAGTTAGTTTATACCGTTAGCCCTGTTACCCCCAGTAAATTAGGAAATTCATCGAGGGTTGAAGGGAGGAGAAAACGGTAAAAAAATTTGAGGGACGTACGTAAGACGGCACGAGTTCGAAGGCATCGTTTGTAATATAAAGTGAAGATGGCACCATAGATTCTGATCACTCCATTGAGCAAACGCTAGGGTACAAATGCTTTCTCTGTTCCATTGAACCACGATTCCAATCACTCCACAGCACCGAGTACTTCCATTTGATTATGTGATTTGTTGTCTTCTCCCCCGCATTCTGTGCTTCCTGTGTGCGTTATTTTCTTCTGTGTTTGTGTGAGTGTGCTTTCTACTCCTCCATGATTTCTTCTGCGTTTTCATTCTGCTGCACTGTGAAGTGGTGATGAATATTTAGTTCCATGATAAGTAATTGGTCTCCATAGTTTGACAGCAAGCTTCCCAATATGATATCAATATGACAGCAACAGTCTGATGTTGCATTTTGCCCATGACCAACATTGGGGTAATATCATATTATTTAGCAAGTTTCCCAGTATATCATATAAATGGCAGCAACATTCTTTGTGCAGCATCAGTATGTACGTGCGTGTGTATGATAGCACCAATATGTAAGTGACAGCAACAATAAAAATAAAAAGTGAGTAAGTAATAGAAACAAAAAGAAAATGACACCAAAAGTGACAAAAGAGATTAGCAACAAAGCTAATCTTCATTCCACAAAAATGGTTCCATAAATTACAGTAAAAGCAGTACATCTATCTACTTTATATTCCACTACTTTCAGTGCAACAAAAGATTCTAGCAAATAAAATGGTTCACCTACATACTTTTACATTCTATTGCTTTCCAATATTCCTACTTAATCAAGAATGTACAACAAAAATGGTGACACCCACATTCTACTGCTTTCAAATACTCCCACACAATAAACAATTCAATCTTTAAGCTCTTGAAATTTCTCTTCAACCTTTCCATCTCTTGCTTCATGCTCTCATTTTCTTGTTTAATTTCAGGTGCTCTTTGTCTTCCTTCAAATGTTGTTTTCCTTGCCTCATGAGTTTTGTTGCTCTAAATTTTGTTTCTGTGTCATCATCTGCACAATCTTCTTTAGCCAATCAAAATAGTTGCAACACCAAGCCTCCTGCAAAACCAAAGGAAAAAAACCACAAAGCACCAATTTAGAACCCAAAACCAATGACAGTAAAAGAGTTCTTTTCGTTTAAATGATTGGAGAACTTATTTTGGAGTTAAAAGGAACCATTTTGCATCTTTTCTTTCTCCCACTACTTTTTTGAGCAGAGCACAAGGGATGAGGTACAGACTTGCAAAAATTAGCCAGTCAACTACGTAAATAATACAATTACCTTCTTACATTTGTATTTGACGTTGTCTCTTGATCAAGCAAGGGCCATCAAAAACACTATATTCACAATTTAGTTGGTAATCTTTACTTGATTCCTGATTTTGCTACAATACTGAGATGTGACAGAGAAAATGATGCCTCTTACTTTCAGGAAAGCTATGGGCTTAGGGAAAAGCAAAACCATACTATAAGACCGTAATATTTAAACAATTTTAGAATACCAAAGCAAGCTGAACAACATCATTGGCAGTCAAAATATAGCTTCAATTATCAAGTATGCATTATACTATTGAGTGAACAAGCTGCAAATTTACCATGCCAATCCAACACAAATAGTCTATACTAACGTATAAGCTATAAAATCTATACGACATGTTCTATAGACAAATACTCAGCCATTTGTATCGGAAAAACCACCATAGCTATTGAAGTCAAATTTCAAGATTATACCTTGCACTTAAAAAACAGAGAGACGAAGCTATTTTTGGTGTAAGAATAAAGTGTCTTCTTAGACGAAGCCTATCGCAAAATCCCTTGTTGTGTTCCAGCCTATCGTACAATAGTCCTGTCGTAGACGAAGAAGCTAGATCGCTCAGTCAAGATCGCATAATGACCCTGTCGCTTCTTGTTGAATGAAGATCGAGTTGAAGCTTGCATGCATCTTATTGCGTTCTGTCAAATCTCCCTAATCGCATCAGGTCCTCTTCTAGCTCGCGTGCGTTCCATCTCAAAGTTTCAGAGATAACTCTGTCTCCTCCTCTGTAAGCCCTTGTGGCGATTTTCAATTGCAGAGGGCGTAACGTGGATAACGGTAGAAAATTGAAGGAGGGAATTTTTTTTTTTTTAAATTACAGGTACCAAACTAAAATTGAGGAAAATTATAGGTATTAACAAAATGGTCTTCCCAAAACCTAGTTATAACTAAAACAACATAAAAGTAGCTTTTTCAAAACTAAGAATTAGAAAATAGTTTGACGTAATTATTATTTTTTGCCTAATATGAAAATTTAAGTTAACTTCTCCAGTTGAATTAGTAAAATTTTAAATTAGTATTTTAATTAAGTTAATAAAATATTTTATTTATAGTCAGTTTGATCATGATTTAATTACAGTTTTGATCATCAATTTTTGAATCAGTATGTTGACTGATTTAATGATCGGTTCAATTTTTAGTGCCTCAATTTTTTATAATAATTAATTATGTATTATCGACTGTCTTCCAATTTTTTCCCTCAAAATACTAAGCAAAGGCCTTGTAATTTTTCAGGTGGGATGATGGCTGGTATAGTGAAGGGAGATAAAATGTGCTCTGATTAGAAGTTTTGTGATGATAGTTGTGGCAAGTGGCGTAAGAAAAATCACAAAGATGGGCAAAGCCACTACTGCTTTAATGAGTGGGTTTGTGATTATCCCTGTGGGCCCCATTCGACAGTCCCAACATGGATTTAACTGTGGGCTTTGGGCTTTGCAATGTGTAAATTCAATCTGGATTCTCGGCTTTTGTTAAAACGACACTGCTATGACCTTTTGAAATTGTCATATGCCCTGTTATTTCCAAATAAATAACAACACTAATGATATGCAAAGTTTTCTGTTCTTGTTTGTTTGTTTGTTTTAAACAATTTTCAGTTATGACTTATGAAGTAATTTCCACGAATGCCATCAATATTTTTAGGAGTAAAAGAGACAAAGAAAATAGTCAAAAAGGCATAAATACTTATTGGTGATATATCAATGGAAATTGAAAACAATAATAATAATAATAAATATATATAAACATCGAGGTTGAGGTTAATAAGGTTTAGATTACCTAATTAGGTGTTGATACAGCACGCATGCCCAGCTCAGCTCGAAGAAAAATTGGGCATGTTTGGGCCAGGTTGGGCATTGAACTAGATATATTGCCTTGCCCAAAGTGTATGTACCTTTTCCAATATATTTACAAATTATATGTATATAATATTTATTGATACATGCCGTTTGAATCTTATGACTTATGAGACAAAGGCAAAGCGAGCTTTTAAAACAATCAAATCTTTTTCATTCCAATTATTTTATATTCAATTGTGGATATTGTGTTAAAATTTACGGTAAAATTTGTATTTCAAGCTAGAAACTTATAATTTTTTATCACATAATAATTAAAGTTAACTTTTAATTAATGATAAGAGAAATGTTTGCATTATTTTCAAAAGTTAAAAAAAAAACATTACATTATAAATAAGTTTAAATTTTAGGGTCTCACACACTTCTTTATATATAGTTTAAGAATAAAATTATTTTTACAAAAAAGTCACACTATTTGTAACTTATAGACTTCTTATTTTATATTTTGTAGTTTTCATTGTAAACAGGTATCAATATATCATACAATAGAATAAAAAGAAACCAATTATTACTGTGCGAATACTGTTTATTTAATTTGAAATTAATATTTCAATTAAACAATTGTTTATTTATACAAATATATATATATTCATTGATATATTTATAAATATTCAACAATTAATGCCTAAGATAATTTTTGTGATATGACCGAGATTCTATCATAAATTTTAATTACAATTACAATTACAATTATTTTAAAAAAAGAGACAGTGAAACAAGAAAGGAAAATATGAAAAGAAGCTTTCTAGAATCAAAGCAAAAAAGGTAATTCACAAATAATTGTGGATTTCCAAAATCCAAAACAATTAAGTCTTAATATGGAATATGAATGAATGGAATTAACCTCTCAGGGCTTTTACTTATTTAACAAAACCACGATAAAATTATATATATAGCTCATGACCAACCAGTTTCATCACAAAGTCCTAATAATTTGGCTCGGAAATTGCATATAAATGGCATCCTTTCTGAATCTTTCTCGTCTCTTCGTGCTCCTACTTCTTGTTTCAACAGGTTTGACCTTTCCTTTTACTTACTTTCAATTTATTCTGTACAAATGAAGTGATTAAACAATCTTTACACGTCATTAGTTTTGTAAAGGGATCGACATAAAACATGCAATGTTGAGTGAATTTCACTCAAATATATGTTTGAACTGTGTATGTATGTATGGATAATATGTTTTCACCTTAAACTTTGATAAGGAGCTTTCCTAAACTCTCGAGGTTGTGCATATAATCTCTTGCAGTCAATTATTTAGTTATTTCACTGACAAAGCATGTATCATTCACCATACATGTCTATTTATACTTTATCTATGTAAACTGCTTCTCATACTTTGTGTCGAAACACTAAATCTTGTGTAGAATAAAGCACTGTCATATTACATTCCATTAGTGAAATAAAGGACAGATTAACAACAGAGGAGTTATATATGTGCGCGCTCGCGTGCATAAATATACGAATATAGGTTTTTTTTTTTTTTATGGTAAACTTCTAAAAGAAAAGGAGGCTACTTCACGTAACTCAAAATTAAGAAGTTATACAACCTAAAACTTAGATCTTTTAAAAATAGGAGAGTTATCGATACACCTGGACCTAATTGAGTATGGAAACATTTAAATTTAAGGAAAAATAATAACAAAATCTCTCCGAATTATGTAAATGATATTTATTCTCTCAAAATGCCATAACACCAATGAGATTTTTAAGGGTTTCTTTATCAATAATTTTTTTTAGAGAAAATACCATTTTATTTTTATTGACAAATTATGATTTCTTGTTCAATTCTTGTAATTTTTTAAAAAAAAGTTATAATTTTTTAAATAATAGTTGTGAATAGAGTTTATTATTTTGAAAACTTATTTTTCAATAATAAAAATTACACTTAACAAATTATAATTTTTTGTTCAACTCTTACTATTTATGGAACAAAAGTTATTGTTCTTTAAATAAAAGTTGTGCTTAAGGCTTTTTTTTTTAATAACAAGAATTACACTTGATAAATTATGATTTCTAATTTAACTCTTTCAATTTACAAAATAAAAGTTCTGATTCTTTAAATAAAAGTTGTAATTGAGTCTTGTTATTTTTAATAAGGGTAAAATAATATTTTTTTAAAAAAGTTATTGACAAAGGTATTATAATATTTTAAGAGACTAAATTATTATTTATATAATTTAAAAAAATTATTGTCATTTTTTCTAAATATTAAATAATTATATATACAATCTTATTTACTGTATGTTTGGAAATTTGTTTGTTTTGGTCAAAACCTAGTTTTAACTAAAATAATGTGAAAGTAGCTTTGTCTTGAAAATTGCAAAATTTGTTCCAGCTTTGAGACTAAGAATTTGAAAACATTTCCTTCAGGCTCCTTCTTGAAAGATCCTTTAATCTTTGTATAAGATACTTGGTAGGATATAAATTATATTATTTTAATATTATCTTTATTTAAACTCATTAACTATGGGAGAGGATATAATATAAATTTAAAATTTTTTTATTTATGTGGGAATATAATTTGAAAAACTCAATGTGCTAAGTAAAAGCATTGTTATTATTTCACAGGTGGAATGATGGTAGAAATAGTGGAGGCAGATAAAATATGCTCTGATTTTATGACTGGCTGTGGTGACCCTTGTGACGAGTGGTGCAAGAAAAATCACAAAGGTGGCCAAACCCATTGTACCTCCAATGTTTGCACCTGTGCTTATCCCTGTGGGCCCCCACTTGACAGGGCTAAAATGCCTTGAACTTTGGGCTTGGGCTTGGGCTTGGGCTTGGGCTTGGGCTTGGGCATGGGCTCTGCAATCTAGATTCCGGGCTTTTCTCGCAACGACACTGCTGCCAGCTTGTGCATGCAATTGACGTACGCCAGTCAACAACAATAATGATATCCAAAGTTTTCTTTTTCTTTTTTTCTTTAACAATTCTCAGCTATTAATTAATTTCCACGAATGCCGTCGATATTTTTAGGAGGAAAACAGACAAAGAAAGAAAATAGTCAAAATGCCATCAATATTTATTATTGGAGAGATATCACAATGAAAATTGGAAACAATAATAAATGTAGATATAGATAATACTAAAAATGATATGGGAAGTTTTTTTAACACTTCACAGATATGAATTAATTTCCACGAATTATATACTTATTTTTAGGGTAAAAAAGAGAGAGAAAGAAATGCAATATCATCAACACCAATAAAGTTAAATCTAGTGAAATGAATTAATCTTTTATAATGTAATGAATTAAAATTTAAATGTATTTATATCAAATTATTAAAAAGTGTAGAACTTCAGCTCCCTAATTTATTTATTTTTATTAAAATTCTAAAGCAACCATTGTTTTTAGATAAAAGTAAAATTTTATAGTAGTAGAAGTAGTAATAATAATTTTAAAATAGGGTAATGAGTTTGGAGCAATGCCAAATTCTATAATATTCACGATAAAAATAAGATGTTAACAATAAAAAAAAAAGGTTAAGATGCATTTTGATTCTTGAATTATTCTATGATGAGCATCTAATATCATAAATTATTTGTGTCATAATAATTTTGCATTTAAAATAATTAAAATGTAGTAAAAAATGTACTTTAACTTGCATCTGCTTATTATGATATGCAGTGTTTTTGATTAAATTTCAATTCTTGTTAATATTTTTAATAGTCAATGCTGAGGTATTTAACATCAAAAGCAAATATACGATATTTTAATTATTTTAAAGATAAAATTATTACGACAAATAACTTATAATGTTGAGTTGCAAAAATAGTTTGATAAAAATGCAACTTAATCCAATAAAAAACCTTTCATTGATCCCACCATTAGAAATACAGGCAACAACCACCAGTTGGTCCTGTCAGCAATCCGCTAGGCTGCGTACTGTAACACAAATCCAACAAAGAAGGGACCACCAGAGTCTCACACGAGAAGCCGAGAACCAAATGTAGCCACAGGATTGACTCGCCGGGAAATCAATTCCCACCAGATCGATGCAAGCTTCTATTCACGAGCTTGCTTCGCCGGCAAGTCATCCTTGGCTCCATTCCACTCTCCTCCTCTTCATGAAAAACTCTGCGACCTTGTATTAACCTCAAATGGAGGTCTCTTCACCATTCTTTTCTCCTTCTCACATCTATCTCCCTGCCTCATGCTATATCTAGCTCGATTGACGCCACTGTATATATAGGCCTTGGAGCTAGTGGGAGAACATAACTGATTCTTGTGGATGGTCTGGTATCATTCTCAATTTGACTCGCTGTTCGAAAATCCGTCAGCTCGCAAGTGAGTCTTATTCCTGTAAAGGGCAATTATGAATTCTGCATTGTATCTGTTCGATGAAATGCGCCCCTTTTTGTGTGATGTGTTCGGATCTCTTACGTGTGGGTCTCCACTCTCCACCTGTCCTCTTTGTTATGGGCTTCAATGCTGGATTATATTCCTCTTTTGTGGGCATAGAATTTTTCACAGAGATGAAGAGCTGTCACCTTGGCTCGCCCATGCTTTTTTGTTTTGTGACTGTTGGCCGTGTCAAAGCTCAGGTATGATCAATCTGACTCTGGGAATTTCCTTTTCATTTGATGCATTTGCAAATGGCAGTGTTTATGATTTATTTTCTGGAGCACTACACATGAATTGTCCATGATGATATCTTAAAATGAATCTGGAATATCAAAATTCAGATGTGCTCCAGAAAGGCAATAAGGTGTAGAAGGATGGGAGACCTCTTTTATAGTAGATTGCTAAGAATGTGATACCGTTGGGAAAAAAAGGGTTGAAAGGGAGGTTCACTACGTTGCAGATTAAAACGTTTTGTCAATAAATCAATCTTTCAGAATCCTACGGCAGAACTTTAGCTTTAAATAGAAGCATCATATTTGATGCATATCTGACTCAAACATGGCCCTACACTTTAACTACACTGAAGCACTGTATCACGTTGTCATGTTGCAGTATCATGGCTGTATTGTGTCTCTAATCCGCATCAGTCTCCGTGTTTCTAAAACTTTATAATAAATTGAACGTACTGCGAGTTGAGAAATCTATTTTCATAAATAATGATCAGGACGATTATACCTGAAACGGAACGACAGCAGTGAATGGAAAAACCGGACGTCCGTTTATGTCCGTTCCGGCACCACCATTAATGAAAATAAAATGCATTTGTAACTTGCCATTTATTTCTAATTATCAGTTTAAGCATCAGAGTAGTATAAATAGGGATCCTCATTTCCTTGTAAACATCTAAGTTTGAAGCAATAAATCAGAGTTTCCTTTTTCATTCGGTTTCTGAACCAATACCTTTCTTTCATTGGGCATAGGACACGATGGTGTATTTTTACTTTCCGGGCTAATATGACTATGCGATTGAAAGTTGATCGTCAGCTCTCGGGGAATTTAGAATTGAATTTCAATGCTAATCAATATGATGAGATTTAAATCATTTAAATTTTAATTTGAATGATTCAAATTTAAAATATTATTCTATTTTATATTTATTAAAATAAAAATTATAAAATAATTTTTTTTATTTTCAATATGATATAAATTTAATTTGGAGTGTCTAATTTAACATTAAAATTTTTATAATTGTTATATTTTAACTATCCAAATATATTATGCATAGCTCATATTTAAAATCCATTAGTTAAAAGGGCAACATCGCTATAATTTTAACAAAAATTATTAAATCATTAAATTATTTTATAAATTTTATTTTAATAAATATAAAATAAAAATATAAATATTACTATAAATTTAGACCATTTAGATTAAAATTTAAATGGTTTAAATCTTATTACATGGGCGCCACCAAAGATGAGCTCGGGAATTTAATTTCCTTGACTATACTTATATATGACTTAACAGGGCCTGAACAGATAAATAATTGTCAGGATAACCAATAATCATAGCAGACCTTCAATGAATTGCATCATATTTTTAGTGAGACAGGTGGCGTATTTTTCCATCCAAGATGGAAAGGACAATATGCATTATGAAATGATGAACAAAAAGACTATTCTGTCATCTGTTAATCACTCATGTAGTTAAAGGTAAGGGCAATCTAATCTGTTCACTTTATCTGATTTTCATTTTTTCTCTACTTCTATTATACAAACATATCACGGGGTGAGATGCATACTAAACTTAATTTTCCATGTTTATTTTCTTGGTTAAAGGTTATTTTTGCCCTCACTTATTTCTACAAGAAAATTGGTTATCTTAAATTATTCATTAGGATAATGTTATTCTTTAAGTGTAAAAATTATTGCAACGTTGTCCTTTAACTAATAGATAGTAACATTGATTGTCAGCTCTAGAAAGAAAAACAGGGTACAAATATTTCACATTTTGACATATCATATTCTCTCCTGCCGAACATTTATCGGTTACTATATTTTCTTAATTCTCATCATCATCGATCATTCTTTTTGGTTTTGTTGTGATTTCATGTATTTGAAGATAGAGTTAGTGAAGTACTTTCCCTCAGGCTGCCGATATCCATGATGAGCTTCGCTCGGGTCTGCGCAATCGCAGCACCAGATTTTGAGCTTTACCTTGTTTTCAATTAAACGTTGGAGAAGTATGTAAGAACTTGGAACATGCTTCATTTGAGACTCCACAACAGCTTTTAATTTTTGTTCCATTAGAACGAAAACACAAAGAGGCATTGTTCCACTTCATTATTATATTTAATTTCCATAAGTAGGAAACATGTTCAATGTTGTCAATTTGAGAATAATATGAAGTTTATCATTTATGCATATAAAAATAAAAAATAAGAATGCTCTTTCTTGTGTTTCTGAACGTAGAAAAAACCAGACATTCCATCGTGTCTACATATTGTCAACTAATTTATAATTTTTTTAAAAATTAATTGAAACTTTAATCTTTTAAAAAATTGTATATCTTGTTAATTATATTCTAATTAAGTGTCTGATATAAGTGTTTTAGTAATGACAATTGGAATTTCCATAAATCATTCTTTCAAATAAATGAAATAGGGATATAGTTAAAAAAAAAAATCGATCTAATATCCTATATTTTGAGTCAAATGAAGTTTCTAGAAAATGTCTTTTGATAAAAGATAAAATTAAATGCACAACCAAATAAAAGGGAAGAATCGTGAAAGTTCATGATTAGTTATTCTCTACTTATTTCCTAACCAATTGTCATGCCATGTTTTCAAGAAATAAACATATTACTTCTAATCCTTATTATAAAACATCTCTAGTTACTTTAATAAAATCAATGAGATGTGGTTAATTAGTTATTAACTTTATTTGAAAATAGAATAAATTTTTAAATTTACCCCTATTTAAATAAAAAATTAAAATTTGCATTATATTCTATTTTATAATTGATAAATTTAAATAGATATAATATTAAAAAATATAATTAATATTCTATCAAGTGTTTTATATTAATAATCAAAAAATACTTATAGAAAGCATCCTATAATAAAGACAGAAGGGAGTATACATATTACGTATCTACCACAATTGATTATTCCTGATAGTCTAGCTGGTACATTCTTTCTATGTCAACAAATTGCTTTTAATTTTTTTTAAATCACATTGCTGCTAGTTATTGGATACATTATAGAACTTTATTTCTACGTGCAAGTAAAACATTCACACATCATTCTTATTCGCCAGGGTAAAGAAAAAACACCTTTAATTCCACAGCTAACAATTATATTAAAATCATTCAAATGGAAATTACAATACTATTCCATAAGTAGATTCAGTATAATTGATCCTAGCAGAAAAGACTGACCTTTTAACATCCAGGAAAATTTAAAATAATAAAAATGATACATATAATTATATAAATAAATTATAAGTTTAAAATTTGAATTTTTAGTAATTAACTTTTTATTTTAAAATTATGCATCTCTTTTATACTTATAAATTTTGTGATAATATTATGTGTTTTTTATGGCTTGTTTGACGTTTAGTAGATATATTTATTTAAGAGGATCAGATAATAGAATATTTTAATAAAATTATTAATGCTAAAATATATATGATATTTTTATGCAGTTCTTAATAATAAATAGTAATAAGTAAGTTTTTAAATGATGATGATGATGATGATGATAAAACAGCTATAAATAAATTTGTATGAGTGGTCATAAAGAGGATATTTTCTTTAAGAGAAAGACAACATTTATCACATGTGACATAATAGTAGTTTCTTTTGGGAGTAGCCAAGCCCAATTAAATGGATATTGATAAGAATGTCACATATGATGACTTATCCTTTAAAAATTCCTAACCCCTTTCTCAAGCCAACAACGCTGTATATATCCCTCACTCTTATAGTGTAAGCGCATGAATAAAAAGGAATGGGAGGAAAGAGAGAGATGGAGAGAAAGAATGTGAGAGTGAGATTAGATGATAGAGAAGAAGAGAGAGAGAGAGGAAGAAGAAAATGGCAAGAGAGATAATATTAAGAAATAAATGTAGAGAAAATGTAAGAGAATGGATAAAAAAATGATAGAAATTGAGAGAAAAACATGCTAGAAAAAAAATAAGAAAGAAAGCTTTGGATAAATATTAGAGAGAGTCAATATTATCAAATAAAAAAATTAATATAAGGTAAGATTCTTATCTTATTGAAATTTACAGTTTTTTTATTTAAATATGAATATTTTCTCCTAATTTTATTTCTAGCTAATTTATCTTAAAAATATTCTATTACTAAGTTTTATTTCTAGCTAATTATAAATGTTCTATGATTATTTATTGACATCTTAGAATGCAGTCTTTTGTATAAAATCCTTAATAGTTTTAATTTTATAGATGACATGATTTTGGGAGTTATCTACTTTTGGCAATCTAGTGCTTTTGTATTTTGTGGTCTAGTAATCATAAATTTTATTTCATTATAATCCCTTTGAACTTACAATTTCACACATAAAAAAGTTAATAGTTTTATGTAGATTTTTATTTATACTATTTATTTAGATTTATGATGCTTGAACAAATAATTCAAGCACGTTTTGAACTATCATATTTATTTAGGCTTATCATCTTTCAACATATAATTCACAAATGTTTTAAATGAGAAGTATTTCTCCAAATGTTTGGAATTTCTTTATAAGTATTTATATCCAAAAGATTTTGGTTTAATAAATTATATGGAAATATGCAAAATAAAATTATATTATTGTGTACCAATATCCTTTAGATAACCCCTATCTAAGTGAAAATGGGGTGAGATTTATTATGTGGATACACACTGGGGGACGCTCTGGTTATGCTTAATGCTATGTGTTGGATGCTTATAATTTTCAAATGCATAATCACATATAATAATCAAGGGAAGATGGTCTAATTTACTAGAATATTGTAAGATCTTTTATTAATTTTTATAAACACCTATCATGAGTACTTGAATCTATTTTTATATGAATTTCAGTATAGGCAAGAGTGAGAAAATTGTTTTCTGCACATAAGGCGGCTGGACTATTATTAGCTCAAACTTGATTTATCTTATCAAGAAATTTTGTAATTCTCACCTTGTTTTTTTTTTCATAATGTGTCCAAATGTCAATTGCCCAATGTACACTGGTACAAAAATAACTTTTTACAGCGGTTAAAAATAATTTTTTATAGCGGTTAAAGAGGCGATGTTATTTCAGAGGATGTAAAAAGTCCCATCTTTCTACATCGATTATAAATCCGATGTAAAAATTAATTTTTACATTAGTTATAAAGCCGATATTTAAAATTATATATAAGAAAATAAAAAAAATTATTTAAAATTTTAACATCGGTTGGACTTCCACTTGATGTTAAAACTAGACTTTTTACATCAGTTGGTAATCCAACTGATGTAAAAAGTATAGATTTTACATCAGTTATTATCATAATCGATGTAAAAAAATATTATATTCTACAACGGTTATGGCAATAATTGGTGTAAAAAGTATTTAATTTTTTTATACAATATTTATTTTATTAATTTTACCCATTCTTGTGCATAAAAATTGCCAAAGCCAAATCAAACAGCTCAATTAATTTACAATTATTTATCAAGTATTTATCAACTATACAAAACTATTTAACTATTAAAAAAACTAACAATTGTTTAAATTATGTTAACTATCAAAATTAAAACTTGTCTAAAACTAATAAAAAACCTCACAAGTTTTCCAAAAAATAGGTTGCCCGATGTATGCGGATGTCTTCAATTTTAGCTTTAGGAAATGCATTCGAATTGTCGAACATCTAAAATTTGATTCACAAAATAGGCATATTAATCAATCTCAAATAACATAATAAAATAAAACTTTTAAAAATATATTTACATCCTTTGTAAATTCGGTCATGTCCAATGTGATGATATTGAGCATATGTTTCATGACATATAGACCACACAAGTTCGTCCTCACCGATTGTCTATGACTCTGTATAAGAACAAATCATAAGAAATAAGTTAGAAATCTTAATAATTGAACATATTAATAAAGTATAGCATCACTTTGGCTCGATCCATGTGGGATCCTTGAGCTCATGTCCATGCTTTTGTAAGACTACATTTTGATATGTTCTCATTGCCCTATGATCAAAATCACCAAGTTAATAAATAATATATTAAAAAAATTAAATTAAATAATTTAGTAAAAGTATTCTTACAAGTTTATCATCTTCTTCATTTCTTTCCCAAGTTTGTAATAAAGGGAGCATAAAAAGACGACAATATTTTTCTTCATTGAAAGAACAAATAACTGCCAATAGTCCTTGCTAAATATGATATAAGTTAAAGTAAATCCATATTAAAAAAATCATTAATTACAAATTGATCCTAACGAGTGCACATATGGAGCCATAAAAGGTCCTTTTTGACTTCATATATTCTCTATTAAAGGTACTTAGCTCTTAACTCTGGAGTATTACCTTTCTCTATCATGTGATAAGGGCAAAGGAATCTAAACGTATCACCTTTGCCTGATGTAATGTACAAATGATGAAGGTACCTATAACAATACAATTATATTAAAGAAAAACATGCTTATATCATAAATAGTTCAATGTGTGGTGTGGTAAGCTGATTATTCGATAGAATTCAAACCAAATCTTTCCGTTCAATTGTCACTATCATGTCTTTCTTATCCACAACCTCTAGATTCATTTCTAAATTCTTGAATTTGAATGATAAATCATATGCCATTAAGATCATTCACTAATGTAAAGTTAACAAGGGTTGTGGAAGTTTTGGGAGATTCGGTGAGGAAAACTTTTACGTAATAAAAAGGTAAGAAATAGCTAATAAAAAACATATATTAGGAAGCTTCTACATAATAAAAATTCATGAAATTTCATATCATAGCTTGAACTAGATTCACAAGTCTCTGGGCCATAGGATAAAATTGCCAATAGCTTCAACCATAGTCTTTACCTCATCAGTAGAGAATGAAACTAATGCATTTAGCACTTTTAGATCTGCAACCACCATCTCACTTGATCATCTTGAATTTGCTTGTGGTGGATGGTTGACCTCAAGCTGTAGATGCTACTAAGAGCAACCAAGCGTTTATCATGATCTCCCAGAAATATCTCACATAGTTCACCAATGTTGTCACTAAAAGGACCTTCTAACACACGCTCAAGAACTACTCCCTTTTGTATTATGAAATCCAGGAGATGTATGAACTGGTTCGGTAGTTGTCTCTTATTGTGAGCTCATTATGCTCATCATCTCCTCCTTCATTTTCTCTTTT